GGTGCCCAATACTCAAGATGCTTGGCAACTGCTTGGTACGTGTGTCGGTTGCAGTGTTCCAAGATCACGTGATCACTCTTGGCAACCTGCTGACAAGCCAAGTCAGTGGGGAAGCCGATTCCCTGAACGTAGCAGCTGCAGTGATTCACTGAGCCAAGAAAGGCTGTGAAAATGGGGCAAAACCCCACTTAACGAATGTCTCGCTTAGCAACATAAATGTGGGGGCTCCATTGCGGTCGTAACTTGAGGACTCCCTCTATCGCCCTTTGCAAGGCAAGCCAGCCCAGAAAGTGAGAATTACGCCTGCCTGGTTTCCCACCCACCCACCCACCCCAGAGGCCGCTTGTGTCAACAATTCTGCTGAATGGAGGGAGACTCAGCTGGAAGTCAGCTGGGCCACACTTTCATTAGGTGAGCTAGAGCCCATTCAGGGGGAGGGGCATGTTAACCCTCTAGCTGCTGAAAGGGAGGAAGGGCGAGGCTGCCAATTGGAGGAAGGTGACAGGGAAAGTTGACAGGGCCGGCTGGCAATTGGGGGGAGAGGAGAGGGAGGAGAAGGGGAGGGGTCGCCAAAAGTCACTTGTTGTAAATCGAACCATCCCAAGGAAGAGGGGGGGGCGAATTGGGGGGAGGGACTGTAGCGTGGCTCCGCGAAGGACTCACCTTGACGCCTCTCCAGTTCTTTCGCCTTCCGTCCTACTTTTATGCAACGCATCTTCCAACCACAGCTGTCCCGGTCCGGAGCCAAGCCCGGAGTCATCCCGGTTCAGAGCCGTCCCGGTCGAAGCAAACGGGATGCGTGACATTTGCCTCGCCTTTTTCCCTCCCCCCCCACCCCCCCACCCTCAATTGGGTTGATCTGAATCGCCCAGGAGGATCCCTGATAGGAATTTCTACCCAGGGAAATTTAATCAACCCCGTTGTTTCTAAGTAAAGAAAAGCTGGGTTTGGGCTACCTGTCGGGGACCCTTTGCCGGAGTTAATCCAAACGCCGACAATTCATTTGTGGGCGGGTGCGTTTGTGTTGTAGGGGGGGGGGGGGTTGTTTCATATAGCGCACGTTTCCGTCCGTCAACACCTTTTGCTTTTGTGGCCTTCTGTGGTTGTGCAGCCCCCAAGTGCTGCAATCGCGTGCGAAAAGGAAGGTTGGCAAAGAAAGGGGGGTGGGGGAAAGTTTTACCGGGCTGCTAGATTGGAGCTGCAAATCTCCCGAAGGCAGCTGGGCTGCTGGAAAGGCACGTCGAAGTCCTTGGCTCTCTGCTGCCATCTAGGGTCCGTCCCGATGGATGCAGCCCAGACCAGGTAATTCCACCGCCGCACCCCCCCCCCCATCCCCCCCCACACGGTTTCCTTCTCCTATTTCACCGCAACGAAGCCGGGTTAGCGCAGCTAAGAAAAACACGCTCCTGCGCTCCGCCAGTGTAAAGTTTCACTTCTGCCTCTGATCTGGGAAGCGGAGAGCAACTTTGATTGCGGGGTGGGAGCCTATTTCGAAATGACCCCCACCCCTCCCCCAAACTCTCTGCATGCAGCCTGACAATTCCAGCAATGTCTTTCTCAGAAACCAACCTCATTCTCATTTCGGTGCTTCCCTAACCTGGACAATTGGAAGATGGACGGGTTGCATGTTGCAACTCCACCCCACCTTCCAGTTGTCCAGATGGAGAAACACACAGTCGGGGCACTTCAAAGGAGGAGCCTCCCACCGCACACTTCACCCCGCACCCTCAGCGACTTGCCCAGCACCTCTCGGTCCCAGACACTTCTCGCAACCCTCCCAAAACGAAAGAAGGGTAGCTTTGATTTGGTTACTCACATGATGTCCTGTGTTCATGTACGAAATCTTATCGCAGGGCCCAACTAATTTTCCCCAAGGGGAGTGCGCTCCCGCATTCCTGGCTTCCCCAGCCTGACTTGGAGAAGGGGCTTAATTCGTGTTTCGGTTTTCGATATAGGACCAGCGATATAGGATCCTTTCCTTCAAAGCAGTCGAACGCAAAGAGTTCAATTCCATCCCCGTAATAATCTCTCTCCGTTTGGGCTTTTCCCTTTCCTTTAACCTCAATGGTCCAAAAGGTCGCCGGCGTGGCGTGCAGGGAAAAGAAATTGAAACGTATCCAGGGCAGAGATGTGAAGGGGGCTTGGGTAACCCTGCAGCCTTCCCACCCGCTGACACAGTTTTTACAAGGAGGCAAGTCCGGGTGCCGAAAAGCCCCCCCTGTGCTTTTCTGAGGCCCAGTTTCCCCGGTAGAAAGAAAGCAGGCCGGGTTGGGGGGGGGGGGAATGTTGCTCCATTAGCTTCTGCGATGTATTCAGTGCACGCATGAGAGGACATTAATATGCGGTGGCAGTTCCCACGAACAATATTCGTCTTAGGCCTTCCGACAGGCCGTGCGTGCCTTCCTCCGTAGGGTAAGAAGGGGTTTCTCTCTAAGGGCCTCGCCCTTGCCTTCCGCGCTTCTTTCTAAACCGCGAACTGACCACAAACCGGCTTTTCGCAGCTCATTGCTAGCTGCACCCACCTCTGCAGGAACTCAGTGAATCTAAAGTCGAACACGGTCGGTGGTGTGCTTTTTTTAAAAAAAAAAAAATCTCACACATATTCGGTTCACTGCTGACAAAATCCTTCCCCTGCCTCTCCAGTGCTTCCCCCCTCAACATGGAGGGGGGGGAATTAAAAGTGAGGGAGAAACTGTCTCCCACTGGGGGCGTCCAACGACCCCGCTAACTCTTGCAGACCACAGTAGTCCAACAGAGCGCTGTGGCCACCCCCTTATTCTGGGACAATCCAACCCTACCGCTGCCAGTTGGGGTCCAGGAAATCTCCGGGAGTTGAAAACTTTGAGATTCGCTGTTAGGTTAAAAAAAAAAAATGGGTCTGGGCTGATCAAGTTCGGCCGAACCGAAGTGATTTCCGAGCGCTGATTTCTCACCAGCCGCCTCGTTGAGCGAGCCGGGGTTATCTTAAATTAAGTTTTAGGTGGTGGTGGTGGTTTTTTTGTTTTGTTTTTTTACACGAAGGCAGCCTTGGGAGTCTGAAGCCGCCGAACTAATAGAGATTTGGAACATCTCTCAAGGACCACCGCCGATTGGTAATGGCATCAACCTTGCGTCGTGCTTGTACCGTGATTCAGGTGCCCAGGGTTTCTTTCCTAAGGCGAAGTGCTGAGGTCAGGGAAGGGGGCTTAGTCGGTGCGACTAAAATCATGGGACTCATTGGAAAGCGATGTCACTCGCCGAGTATGTCCTACATTTGCCCGCCGGCCTTGAAGTCGGCGAGCTGGGAATGACCCCTTTCCTTTCAGCCAGGGCGCACCGCTCTTGGGTTAAATCAAAGGCGGAAAAATAGTTGCTTGAAACGCCGGTTGGCTTCGGCTCCAGCTGGCCGCGGTTTCCGACCGATTGGCGCTTTGTTTGTTTGATCTCGGGGGTCTCGGTGGGGGGAAAGTGGGGAGGGGGAAAAGCATAATTAAGCGCTTGCCTTTCGGCCGTTCCCACTCTTGGTTGTTGCCGTCGCCGCCAAGGCTGGAGGCTTAATGGAGAATCCGACCGGCGGAGGGGTGAGAAAGGGGAAGGTGACATTTCCAAGGAGACCGAAATCCCGGCCTCCTTGTTGGAGAGCCAGGCAAGAACCAAGAAAAGCTCGCTCCTCGGGAATGGCGTTAGGAGGAAGCTCAGTTCCACAGAGTAGGTTAGGAGCCTACACTGCTGTGGTGTTGGCGACTATTATTATGGCTGGGCGCATGGCCAGCCAGATGTCTCAGCATTTTTATCCACCTATGGAGTCCTTCTCAAGGTTGTTGTGGTTGTTATTGTGTCGGAGTGCAAAATAAACCTGGGAAGAATATAATCTGTCCTCCCCCCCCCCCCCCCCCCAAAAAAAAGTGAGCCCAAAGGACTTTCAGGCCTGCTTTTGTCAGCAGCTTTGTCCTGCTGTCCCTTCAGGATCTGGGTGATTTACCTTAGAGTGGACACGGCAGCTGCTACTGACCCAGACCTCAGTGGGAAGCTAGTCTGTGTGATGACCGTTTTAAACCTGATGCGGGTTAGGGGGTGCTGGTTAGGGGGCTTACGCGGGTGTGGAGGTTAGAGAATGATGCTGTGCTCTGGCAGAGTCCTCCATGGGAGAATAGATGAAGGCAGACCTAGGACCAAAACAGACATGGACCGGAGCGGATGCGGAGTGGGTAGAAATGAAGGGAAGAAACTTTGGGTGAAGAATGAACATTTTAGACACCACAATCACCATACACAAACTCCTCTGCCTGCCCCGCTTTTGGGAATCCCTTTTCCTCTGTCACTCATCTCAAGTAAGGTCAAGTTGACATTTCCTCCAAGCGAGCAATATCTTTCCAGCGAAAACACTCTCATGAAAATGCAAGGGACCCTTCCCTTGGCGTTCAGGTAAAACTTGTTAGAACTGGAAGAGCTGTCAGATTAAAAGAAGCTAGAAAGTTAGAAAAAGAGAGTATTATGGGTCACTGCCTCCCCCCCCCATGCCTTCAGTGTATTTTACCATTAAGAAAGTCTATCATATAGACTCTACATTATAAAGTAACCGTTGCTAATTCCTGTGATTTGTCTTGTTTTTAAATAGTCATAATCTCAGTCCCGCAACTTTCAATCAAACTCCTGTATATATGGGAATAGGATTTATGTAATGCAGTTTACATACAGCTATGCTTCAAGACAAGCCCATGAAATTCAGTGGTGTTTCAGGAAGGAGGGGGTAGTTAATCAGTTCACGGATCAAACCCTGAATTGCAATTCAGGATTTTATCCATGAACTGATTAGCCTCTGTATAATTTGCCTGATTGGACGAGTTGGTGATGATAGCAGTCATCATCATCATCCTCATTTCTCACGTTCAAGAATAATCCTCAAGAAAAAGTATACCCTTAAAAAATGCCATGTCAATAATATTAGTAAGCAAAAATAGGAAACAATTTTAATAACCAAGAGAAACAAAAAACAGAAACCAGTCTGAATAAAACTACAATAAGACCAAGAGGTGTTTTTTTTAATATTTTTCATATCATAAGCAGGATTTGAAATTGATCCCTTCAGAACGTTTACATGAAATAAAAACATTTTCTGCTGCTGCAACGCTGTGATTTCAACACAGTTGAATCCATAAAAACCCAAAAGCTTAGAGGGGTATTTTCTGATGCATGACTATTAATATTCACAATATTTAAAACTGCAAGCACCATGCTTTTCATTTTTCACGATTCTTGGTATTACTGTTAATTTATAAACTAATACAAACTCAAAATGCATCCGGCCAGCAGTGCCAGCAAATTCTAAAAGGAAACTAAAAAATAAAGGTTTTCATTTTGGTATTTTTGTCAGTGCAACGTAAAATCCTTTTACTGACCTGCAGGAGGAAAAAGAAAGGGGAGAAAAAAAGGGAGAGGGAATCACAAGAAATAATAATTATAATAAACACCCATAAAATTGCCAAACTACTAAAAGTTTTGGGTACACTCAGTGGCTGCGTGAAAAAGCAGATTAAACATTGCAAAAACTAAACTTGGAAGCTGCAAAGCTAAAAGCACCTTTTTAAAAGAGGAAAGCTGTTTTTCCCCTATGCATTCTGAATTCATTCATCCTTTTACAGAGGCATAAACTTAAAACTCTAATCAGAACTCTAAACCAACTGCCTCGTATGCAGTCAGTGAAACTGGCTCTGTTTTAGTTAAGAAACCAAGCAGCCAACTGTTGCTTTAGAGAAGGGAGAAAAATAACTGCAAATCTTTCTTTTTTCTGAGCCAGAGATAAAATCAGGTGGCCCACACAGATGCTGGATCATGAATGATGGACTGTAGCAAGACCCAACCACTAAAATCATCCCTTGTCGCCACTTAAAGTTATATTTCTCTCGAATTAATGTTTTTCTTTTAAAAAAAATATTTCAAAAGATGACTTATTGAAAGTTACTTGGAAGTTAAATCCAACTGGGTACAAAGGAACCTGGTTCTTTCTAGTCACGGAGAGCTGGAGATCAGCTCTCCTTAATTTCAGCAGACTTGACCTCCAAGTAATTTAATTAAGATTGGGGAATTAAAAGAGGCAAGGCAAAAACTCTTTCTGCCCCAACAAAAACCAAAATGAAAACTAAAACTAAACAAAAAGAACCTACAGCTTTTAAAAGTGCACCGAATGGATGTTTTCTGAATGCAAAATGCCAAGAATTTTTTTGTAGGTTATTTATTTCTGCAACAAATGATCACTGAAAATCAGCCTGCTGAAATGTTCTTGTGTTTTCGCCCTGTGCAGATTTATGTGGTGTGGCTGATATTTACAAGCTAACACAGAGCCCAATCCACCCACAGCTGTTCTCTTGTGCAGCAGTCTCATTGATTTCTATGAAACTTGCACAGGAGACATGCCTAGTGGATTGAGCTCCCAAATTTAAAAAGAAAAATAAAGAAAAATAAAGCTAATAGAGAGATAGAACAAGCAGTTGCATGTGCAAGTAAAAAGAAGTTTTTTATATATAGAATTTGCAACAGTTTCTTATTCAAAGAAACAAACAACAGTACAACAGAAAAAAAAAGTATGGTCAATGATCAACAACATGCGAAATTCTTAAACAAGAAAATGGTACAAAATAGAAGTTACCATACATGTCCAGCATGCAGGATTAATATTTTTAATGCAGATTTTTTTTGTATTTTTTTTCTATATAATCAAGCAGGCAATAAAACTGAGGAGGTTTCTCTCACTTTGATTTCCTTTCCTACTTTACTAGCTCGCATGGTTAAGTCCCATCTCAACTTTTTTTTTTTTTCCAAAGCAGGCAATCTATGAAAAACCTGCATACATTGTCCTTGCTCCTTTTCCAGGCTACTGGTGCACTTCCCCCCTCATGTGTGTTCTTCCGTTTTGTTTAGGAACTCCAAAGTGGGTATTTCTAGATGGCTTGTCCGGTGCCCGTCCCTTTGTTTTGCAAAGTCCAGGATAAAGTTCTACAAGCAAGCAATCAAGTTGTATAAAAAAAACTTTTACCAGGCCTTTCCTTCCCCCCCTCCCCACCTATCTCTCCCCTCCCCAAAGCCCCCTTTGGCTACCCAAGCGGGGGCCGATGAAGAGGAAAAGTTGTACCCTTCCCCCTCCACCCTTCAGAGCTAAGCTAGAAACACGCAAGTTGCTGCCGCAGAGGTTTCCCCCACAGTCCTGGCCTGGAGGAAGCCTACCCTTTCCCAGGCCTCGCAGTCATTCTTCTGACTCTTTTTTCCCCCCCTCAACCTTAATCTCGGCTGCTGGCTCGGGAGGGTAGATGGATGGAGATGTCAGCGGAGGGGGAGAGAAGGGGAACAAGTGGGGAGTAGTGGATGGGTGGGTCGGTGGGTAGCGGGGTCTTGGTTTGTTTTAAAGGACTCACATGAAGAACTCGGGAGAAGACGGGTTGTCGCTGGTGGATCCAGCTTCTCGGAAACCATTGCTGGCCAGTTTCTCGCACTTGAGCTTGTAGGCGTCTCTTTCTCTGGCCAGCCGGGTCACCTCTTGCTTGAGCTGTTCCACCTGCTGAATCAGTTGGGTCTTCTCGTTCTCCAGGTGATGCTTCTGCTGGACCCGCTTGTACCTGCAAGACTGGGCGTAGCCGCGGTTCTTCAAGGTCCGCCTCTTCTGCTTAAGGCGGATCACTTCGTCCTTGGTGAAGCCCCTCAGGTGCCTGTTGAGCTCTCGCACCGACATGGAGACCAGCTGGTCGTCGGAAAACCGGTCCTCCACGCTGCTGGAAGACGAGGCGGAGGAGGCGGAGGAGGCAGGGTGAGGCGGGTGCGCGTTCTGCATCTGCGGGGATGCAGAACTGGACGCAGTGGAGGGGGTGGGAGAGGCCTGGTGGTGATGCGGGTGGTGGTGGTGGTGCGGGTGGCCGGTGCCAGACAGGTCTTCGTGGGGGACCCCTCCGTACGGGTGGTGGTGATGGTGGTGGTGATGCGGGTGGTGGTGGTGGTGGGCAGCGGCGGCCCGGAAGCTCTCGAAGCTCTGGAGCTGCTGGGGCACTTGGTGGGACCCGATGAGGGCTTCCACGGCGTCCTCCGGCGTCAGGTTGAGCGTCTCCGGGTTCATCTGCTGGTAACTGTTGGCCATCCAGTAGAGGTCCTCCAGGTGCGTCTTCTGCTCGGTGGGGCTGAAGCTGGGCGAGGAGGGCACCGAGCTGCAAGGGGTGCTGATGGGGGTGGAGGACACCGAGCCAGCCGGCTGGAGGCGGGTGCAGTGCCTGCCCGAGCGATCGGCTCGGCCGAGCGGCTCTTTCTTCACGTCAAATTTCATCAGGTCGAAGTCGTTGACGTACTCCATGGCCAGAGGGCTGGTGGGCAGCTCGGGGCCGATGCTGAGCTCGGCAGCCATCGCGCGGTGCAGCGGCGGGAGCGGCTTCCCTCCGGGGGTCGGAGAGAGAGGGAGGGAAAGGAGGTGGTTGTGCCGCTTCGTCGCCTCACTCCAGGGCCTCGGCTTCCTCGGGGCCAGCCAAGTCCAAAGAAAACTTTCTTCTCCTCTTCTTCGCGGGTGCGTCGCCGAGGCCGGGAGCCGCCGAGCCGCCGAGGGAGACCCGCGCACACGAGGCTGCTTGCGGCCGCTCTGCTTCTTCTTCTGCTGCTGCTGGCTGGCTGCTTCTGCTGCTGCTGCTTTCGCCTTCTCTCTAACGGAGACCGCAGCGCTAGGCAAACAAGCACAAGAGAAGAGGGCAAGGCAGCTTGTCCGATTTCGCTTTCCTGGCCAATAAACCCGCTGGCAGAAGGAAGGAAAGAAGGAAGGAAAATCCTTCGAGGGCGGGTTGAGCTGCTGCTGCTGCTGCTGCTGTGTCCCCTTCCCCCTTCAGGGGGAAATCTTTCGCTGGTGGGTTTGTTTTTTCCCCTTTTTTTAAAGAATAACAACTCTGCGCCTCTTTTCTTGCTTTTGTTTGTAAGTCCGGCTCTTTTTTTTTTTTTTTCAACCCGCCGCGGCCGCGATTCCCGTGCAACTTTTTGCTCGCTCGGCAGCTTGGGCGAAAGGTGGGCGATTGGCTGCCGTCAGGATCGGCGCTGGGAAAGGGGAGGGAGGGGAAGAAGGAAAAAGGGGGGAAAGGCGCCCCACCACCTCCTCCTCCGCCTCCTCCGCGCTCAGCTCCCAGCCGCAGCCTCCAGCGCTGGGATTGAACAGCTGTGATTCGCCGAGCCGCCCCACTTGGTGTCTTATATTGTTTTCAGGCGAAGGAGGCGGGCCGGCGGAGCGCTCCGACCAACCGCGGCTCGGACGCTGGGTTCCTGGGGTAGCCGGGGGCGGGGCTTTTCTTGAAAGAGACTGACAGCTCCCAGCCAGTCAGCTGACGAGCAGCTGGAGGAGAAGCCCGCGGAGCGGAGTTCCAGCTGCGCTGGTTGTGCTTTGCTGCTTTAATCTTCCCGATTCGCAGCCCGGCTGTGCTTCCCCCTCCCTCCCTCCGCAATTAAGGAAAGGTGTCTCGCCCCTGCTTTCTTTTTCACACACCCCCTCCCAATTCCTACCTATTATATGGAAAGGTTACTTGCATTCTTGTTATTAATAATGTCACTTTTTTTTTTCCTGGCCCGCAAAGAGTGATTTTACAACAGCCCAGGAAAAGTAGGAGGTGATAATAATTGAAAAAGTGGCCGTTTGCTCCTTGGGAAGGGAGGCGAGAGTTTAAAGTTCCCACAAAGTGAAATCTGAGTCCCTCTCGCGCGCGCGTGTGTGTGTGTGTTGTGTGTTTTGTGTGTGTGTGTGTGTGTATGCGGGCCCAGAGCTAAAGAAACGGCGAGGAGAAAGAAAAGGTTTCACCTTCCCCTCCATACTTTTGGATGTCCCGCTGAACGCCCGGAGAGGTGGAGAGTTGTGTCCGCCGTTCAGCAAGTTGCGAGGGAGTTGTGGTTATGTAAAAACCAACGCTGGAACGAGGGATTGGAAAAACGACCCTGAATTTGGAATTGCTCTAAAAACGAATTAAGCAAAAGGGCGATACTAGTTCCAGACTGAGGTGAAAGGAAAGCGGGGAAGGAGGAATTAGAATTGCGTTTCGTTTCAGGGGACGGGCTGTGACTTTTATTTTTCCTTTGCCTGCAACTATTGCAATGCAAAGGCGACCTTATTCTGTATGGAGTTTTGTTTTGGGTTTTTTTTTTCGAGGGAGGGGAAGGGGGGGGTCGCCGTCAGTATTTCTGTTTGAACATTTTGTAACGATTAAGGGAGATTAAGTCTCTCTAGCGTTTTCGTCTCCTCCCCCTCCCCCGCTCCCGCCGCTCTGTTCCAAACGGACATAAAGCGCGACCCCAAGTGGTCACAAGAAAAATTGCATCCATTAAAAGCGGGGGGGGGGGGAGAGAGAGAGAGAGAGAGAGAAAATCCCTATCGAGGTCTGGAAATGAAACGAAGCCCAGGTGTAAAGCGGGCACATTGCAAGGATGTGCGAAGCGAGGGGCTCTGCGCGTTGACATACCCATCCGTGCTAAAGCGTTTTAAAACCGAGCCTTCGCTCTCACGAGAGCCCTTGTTTCATTCCTTTTACCTGCCACCTGGAAAACATGCGCTCGCCTACACAAACACACACACAAAAGGGATTTTCTTGATCGCTTGTTCAGATAATATGTGGGTTAGACATCGATCCGATTGAACTGTGACCTCCGCTGCCTTTTTATTCGGGGAGGGGGGAGAAAAAGAAAAAAAAAGTTAATGATGCAAAGCACATTCTTCTTTTAACCGGAAAGGCCACTGAGTTTATTTTACCCAACCCCGGGGTGGGGGCGGGGGGAGCGCTACGCTTTGTGCGCGAAGAAATGAAGGCGGCTTCGTCCAGAAGCCAATTCAAGTACGGGGCTCTTAACATCAGAAAGCCCGCCGGTTCTCTCCTGGTTTGGGTTTTAATCTCGGGCCCTTCAAAGCGTGTATTTCGGGGAGCGATCTTGACGACGTTGCCCTCACATGCTGCAACCCGAGAATACCCTCCCTTGCTTCGAAATGAATGCTAATAAAACCAACGGGATCGGGTGGTCTTTTGCTTCTAGGGAGTTGCTCAAGGTTCGGGGACTTGAAGAAGGAGGGAGGAAGGGGAAGGAAGGAGGCTTCTCTTGGGAGACCCTCCGGAGGTCGATTCTAGCACCTTTTGGCCACGTACCCCACTTTTTAAACCGAGGGCGATTGCTTCTGAGGAACCGAGTAAGAGGTTCTCACGATCCACCGCCCCCTCCCCACTTTATAAGGGGGGAGAAAACTTGAAGGCCGAAGGTAAAACTTGAGTTGCGAGCCGTCTAGTAAAGCGCTGGTCCAAATGAAAGGCAGACGGGAAGGAAAGCCAAAACTGGGGTACATTTCGGAGTTTTCGGGCGAAAAGTGTCTGCCCGCTTCCTTCCTCCGAGGCCAGTGGGCACATTCCCAGTTCTAGAGACCTTTCCTTTGCCGCCCTCCCACCCCCGCGGCTAACTTCCTGCGCTCGCTCCGGGGCGGGGGAGATAAACCGCGGAGGTCAGCCGGGGCGGCCTCTCAGGAAAGGGAACTGGGAGCCTTAAAACTTCCCTCCTTCCCGGATGGTTGAGGTTTCTCCTTCTCGATTTTGCTTCCCCATCCGCTGAATCGCTCCCCCAAGCAAGGGGTCTTGTCCGTCTCCGCCCTCATAAGCACGGGGTAAGACCTTGGAAGAGAGGGGTCTGAGTTCGGATCCGACACGAGCTTTAGCTCGGCGGGCCAAACCCTTATAAGTCGGAGGTATAGGGGGAAGGGAAAAACTCCGCAGCCAGAGTTGCGGGGGGGAAAAGCGCCTTCGGCCCATCTTTGGCGCAAAGCACTCGGGCGGTGGGGTTCCCGGGGTATTTACCAGGGACTAAACGCCACCAAAAACTGGAGAGCCCAGTTATGAGTATGTTGGGATCGAGGCCTTAACTTTGCCCTCGTTTCTTCCCGAATTTAGTGGGAGTGATTTACCCAGAAGGTTGCGCCTGGGACTGGCGCCTTCGGCTTCAAATTACAGTTAGGATCGCATGTTCTTAACTTATTTAAAAAAGGTCCCCGTAGGCGTGCTATTGATATCTATTATTGTTGTTGTTCTTGTTTGCCATAGCATTTCCGATGTTTCATTCCTTTGATTTTAGAGTCCGATCTTAAACAACTCGTTCTCTGAAGAAATGCCCATCGAGTTCAATTTCCACCCAAATCAAGTTTCCTGCCTTGGAATCTGTAGAATCGATCCAGCGATTGCCGGATGGACGGAGACCATCCGTTGCCGGAGTATTATCTGCCACAGATCGTCCCCTTCTTGCGATTACGCCGAAGGGGTAATGCTAGGGAGCCCTTTTGAAACGCACAGCGTGAGACGCGCCTCTTTTTTTTGCAGTAGCAGCCTGGTCACCACAGAACATCCCAAGATTTGGGAGCGAGGGGACCAAAGATTGGGTTCTCAAAAGAAAACGCTCTACGGGTAAGGCGGCACCCTGGAGGAAAAGCGAGAAGCCTCGAGCGCTTCCCTTCCTTCCTTCCTTGCCGGAAAAGAAAGTGCCCTTCAGCACACATCCCCTCGCCGTCGCCCGCCCCCCTCCCCCCGCACAGTTGTTTCCTGGCGCTTAGTAGCCAGACTGCGCGATCCGTGGAGAGCGGAGCTGTTTGCCGGCATCCTCGCTTAAGCGTTCAGCAGTCAAACCGCGGCACTTCTCGCGGGGCAAGGGGCAGCAGCGGGCGGGAGGAGGGGCACAGGGGTCCGCTCCGTGCAAAGGTAGAGACCAGGTCTGGAAATGTGTTTTTTTTCTCAACACCCCCGCATTGTCAATTAATTCTTTGTAAATTAGATTCCTTCCTTCCTTCCTTCCTTCCTTCCTTCTTTCCTTCTTTCCTTCCGTCCTTCTTTCCTTCTTTCCTTCCTTCCGTCCTTCCTTCCGTCCTTCTTTCCTTCTTTCCTTCTTTCCTTCCTTCTTTTCTTCTTTCCTTCCTTCTTTTCTTCTTTCCTTCCTTCCTTCCTTCCTTCCTTCCCTCCTCAAGGTTTCCTGGAGCCTCTCCGGTGAGCTTTTCTCAGCGCTTTTCTCGTTTGTCATAAACTATGTAGACAGTCATAAAAATGCACTTCCCTCCCTCCGTTCCAACAGCCTTTTTATTCCTACTCATAAACGGTTTAAGAGAGACTTCTTTCACGAAATGTGGGGCCATTTGGACGAATAACCCTTCCCCCCACCTCACCCCGGTATTATTATGAATCAAGTTCCTGGAACTTCCAGAGAGTTGGGTCTCCTTTTCTCTGAATTTACAAGCTGGTTTAGATTACTGGATGCTTTGTAATTTAAATTGTCAAAGCTGAATCCTCTCCACAATTAGAGAAAGGTGAGGGCGTCCTTGACTTGAAGGACAAACACGAGAGGAGAAAGAATAACCCAAACGTTACAACTCCGGTCTTTTAAAAAAAAAAGTCTATTAAATGGAACTTTCCTACTCTTTGGAATCGGACCAGCCAGAATGAATCGGATTTCTGTGGGGAGTCGCACTGGTACTAGAGCTGTTCCCACCCCCACCCCCCCGGAAATCACTGCAAAGCGATTAGCTTCGGCTGAGTCCTTCGGTCCACAGGCGTATCCCAGAAGTTTTGGAAACCAAGAGATATTTGTATGGTAGCTTAGTGTTATGTGGCTTTAGCTACAAACACGTCTGAATTGAACGTGCAAGTGTTGGCGTTCGCGCAAGTTATTTTCAAAGACGTCGGTTTAACCAGCAACTTTGTTAAGAGCACTTCCAAGGAATAAAACACCTGTTAGAGTTTGGGACCTCCCTCCTATTGTGGCCAGTGCCTTGCTTCGCAGTGAATGAAGTGAAGAGCGCCTGCACAAAAACAATGTGCGTTTTCTTTGCGCTTCAGATCTCCCTTTGAGATCCTGAAGGGCGGCTTGGAGACTTATTCTCATGCATCGTCCGACGGATTGAAAATAACTTTTTGATTCAGGCTGGTTTACCTGGAAGGAAACCTTCTCTGCTTAGGAAATGTGTTTAGCTTAGGCTGAGTCCTTCTTCCGGAAGTCCTTAAGTTTAACGCAGCCCGTGTGGTACCCTTACCCTAATCCACAGCTCAATTCATTTAATCGACTCTCATTTACACTCCCCTGAACCTGTTAGCGAATGAGTGTCACGATCTCCGGACTGAATCCGAATCCTAGACGTAGTGAGGTGG